CAGGAATGAATTAAAGTCACCCAGAGCTTCTGTGGCTAGCCTGCAGGGCCAAAGCAGTTACTTAGCCAGCCACGTAAGGGTGCCAAGACCCAGGTGGGCTGCTGAAAAATACATCACGCCTCATTCTTCTTTCCCCTTTACCTGGATAGGGCTGTTAACCCACCTGTCCTACCACACTCAGCCCCGTCACCTCTTAGGAAACCACAGCACCCAGCAGAGTGTGGCCTTGTCCGTCTCATTTGCCCCCATACTGTAATCTCTGCCCCTTCCCTTCTCTTTTTATCCCTCTTAGTATGTCCATCTCTCATCATAATCCCAGTAGCCTAAATCAAGTGCATGGAGAAAACACACAATCATATGGTAAGGAGAGAGGGTTTTCTAAACCTGCATGGACTGCAGAGCTGCAAAGAGGAAGCCAGACACCAAGCAGAATTAGTCCCTCAGCAGCAACTTAATGACACTTCCTTCACCCCGATTCCTCTTTGACTAGGCGGGAGATGGTGAGGCACCAAGAGATTGGGTGTCCTCCTGCAGGACCAGAGCCCACCATGGGGCCAATCGCTATAACCGCCCCGACTCTGTTTGTCACTTGGCAGTACCCTCATTTCCTGAAGCGAGATGCCAACAAGCTGCAGATCATGTTGCAAAGGAGAAAGCGTTACAAGAACCGGACCATCTTAGGCTATAAGACCCTGGCCGTGGGACTCATCAACATGGCAGAGGTGAGCAGAACGCCGTGTCCGGGCTGTCGGCCTTTGACACAGAGTCCACGACAACAGGACCAGACATTGAAGCCCAGCGAGTAGCTTTTCCAGCCTCCTGGCTGGGTGTTTGATTTTATAAGTTAATTCTTATATTGGAAATTCAGAATATACCTCTCTTTTCAAGTACTTCCTCCCTCACAAAAAGTCGTAAGAATAGTATAAAGAATTCTCATACACCGTTCACTCAGATTCTTCAGCGTTAACACTTGCCTTATTATTTTATTATTCTGTGTGTACATTTATGCATGTTCTTTTCTGAACCACTGAGAGCAGTTGCATATAGGATGCCCATCACACATTAAGACTGCACTGCGTTAATTTCCTAAAAATCAGAATACTATCCTGTGTGAGCAGCCTGCCTCCACAAAGATGAGGATGTCATCCCGGATGCAGGATCACCGGTCAGCCCACAGTCCCCATTCAAATTGTGCCAGTGTCTCAAGGATCTGTGTGGGCCCGGGATTTAATCTAGAATGGTGTGAAGAGTGCAGGCTGGTTACGTTATGCAGTGTTCCTCATGGGGGTTTGTCTGATGTTGTCTGAAGATTTGATTCGGCTTACACAGTTTTGGCAGAATGACCACAGAGTAATGCCGTGCTTGCTGCCTCCTTGCTCCACTGCTGGGGGTCACCTTTGTCACTTGGTTAAGATGGTATCTGCCACAGTTTCCAATATTAGGGTAATAAATATGTTGTACTTACCTCTGAAAAAATATTTTATAGGGAAATAAATGTTTGGACACTATGTGACAATCTCTTTCCTCCTCAAATCTTCACCAACTAGTCGGAGCATCTCTTAATATTTCTCGCCTGAATCGGTTCTTACTTTGATGCATGCCAAACGGTGAATTTCTAATCTCGCCATATCTTCGATATTCGTTAGTTGCCTTTCTGTTTTAAGATTGAGGTTTTCCCTTCTTAATTCATTTTTTTTCCCCCTCTTTAAATCCCCCCACACACACACTTCCACCCCGACCCGTGGATGTTGCCATTTCCCCTTAAGAACTGGATCTCTGAAGGCGGGGTGGGCGTCTCCTCCCACATGCTCACGGCACGCACCCGGGGGCCTGGCGCACCCGGGGTATGGTTTATGGCTCCACCTGGGGCGCGCACGCAGGACCTTCTGTGTGCAAAGCAGATGTGCTAACCGCTACACTGTGGAGCCACCCCTCATTTATTTTTATCAGTTATGGACCTATGGATCCCTGCTTTATTCAATGGAATTTAATTTGCTACCATCATTTTTTTGTTTTGATGCTCAAATTATCTCAAATTTGGCCAATGGGAGCCCCTTCAAGTTGGCTCCTGTATCCTCCAATATCCTTTATGTCCCATCATTTTTTACATACTTCTTTACTCTCTGATATATTATTCTCATCTTGTACTTTCCCTGACCCAGCCTTGGAATGAACTGGTTCTCTGAAGAACCCTGGTTCCTTTTAGCGGAAAATGGTATTTAGAAACCAAGATCTGTGTACTAGGAGTGCTCATTTTTCCAACTGGGGTATCGGTGCTTCTAGACAGAGCCAGGAAATATATGTATGTACTTGCACATGCACTTACATGTACATGCAGTCATATCTGTTTCTATATTTACATCTGTCTAATTACATCACGAGCTCACATTCCATATATTCCAATCCAACACAGTAGGGCTTAGTCTAGCCTTTCTGTAATTCTGTTTCCCTTTGCCAGCAGTAAGAAACCAGGCTCCTGTTGCCTTCGATGTATTTGCCCATTTGTGCATTTCCCCTGTATGCCAGCCATATCCTCTCAGCCCTCACAAAGGGGCCAAAAATCAGTTTTAAAACTTATTTCTCTGCTTTAAATAGGAACATTTTGTGGCCATAATAAAGAGAATAATTGGGGTAATCCCCGGCCATCTTCCCGTCCTCTTCAGGCCTGCTGTCAGTATGAGGGACTGGGGTTAGTGAAGCGGCGTGGATGCCACATTTTCCAGCTGTGTCAGGCCCTTCCCTTTGCTCATGTACCGCGGGTCCTTTTTCTCATTGTGAGGGGAGCACAGGTGACCACTCTCGGCAGACCAGCACCACCCACCCTGGAGAACTAGTTGCCCTGGGGGGCTTAAACTAAAATGTAGCCATTTTAGCTTGGTCAGCAGTCATTTTCAATCTCAGCCCTTGGTTTTTATCTTTAAGCACATGGCCTGATCAGTGGCTGGCACTGCTGGGGGGACAGTTTTAAAGTAAGACCTTACAGCAGTAGGAGAAGAGTAGCCATGGACCTGGAAGACAGTGAGAAAGGACATGTACTGGCAGGGTGCCGTTCCCGTTGGCTTGCACACCCACTTGGGTTTGTGGAGGTGGACAGCTCTGCGGCCCTCTGCAGTAAGGCGCCCCCGCTGCTGCCCCACTGCAGGTGATGCAGCACCCGAACGAGGGCGCGCTGGTGCTGGGCCTGCACAGCAACGCCAAGGACGTGTCCGTGCCCGTGGCGGAGATAAAGATCTACTCCCTTTCCAGCCAGCCCATCGACCACGAAGGAATCAAATCCAAGCTGTCTGGTAAGAAGTTTTCGGTGTCTGGGGCCCCTGCGGGTCAAGAAGCAGCCCATCCCCTCATCCCCGTCCTAGGAGAGCTGGACAAGAGAGTGTCCACGTCGTCCCCAGGGAAGAGAAGCCTAGAGGTCCCTGAAAACGCAGCGTGGCCTCCTGCGCCCGGCCGGGTTTCCACCGGAGGAGAGCCCCAATCCCCGCTCGTCGGCCTCGTGGCGCACCTGCCCGCCGCGAGGTGGTCATGCCGGGCTGTCTGTTTCCAGATCGCTCTCCTGATATCGACAATTATTCCGAGGAAGAGGAGGAGAGCTTCTCCTCAGAGCAGGAGGGCAGCGACGACCCACTGCACGGACAGGTAATGGTCCCCAGCCACTCGCCTGACTGTCCGAGGAGGGGCCAGATCCTCCTGGGCTTTCCCAGCCTCATTGTCGCCCCCTCCCCACCTAGGACCTGTTCTACGAGGATGAGGATCTGCGGAAAGTGAAGAAGACCCGGAGGAAGCTCACCTCGACCTCTGCCATCACCAGGGTGAGCCTCGAAGGTCTGGCGACATTCGGCTGAGATTTCCAGTTTCGGGGTAGGATGGGAGTGGTCTGTCCAGAATCTCTGGGGGCGTTTTTCAGCCTGCACGTGGCCGTGCCCTCAAGGTTCCGACACACCTTCTGTCTCCTCCACCACCACCTGGTTGGGAACCGGCGTTACTGATAGAGGCACGTTATTTCTTCAGGTTGTCTTAGGATGGAAAAAACGTTGAGTACCTTTGTTTTAGACTTTGGAACAGGTAATGCTTCCTCGGGGAACAGGGCACCTCAGACACCCCACCTCCCTCCCCAGGCGATGACTTCACATTGTGTACTGTCCACTGCATAGAGAGATCCCGTCCTCTCCAAGAGGCTCACCATTTAATCGTTTGTTGAACTTACCAGAAAGAACAGGCTAATGCTTGGAACCGCGGGTTTGATAAGGTTTAATTACATTAGATATAGTTCCTACCTTAATGGATCCATAACCATAGAGACCAAATGCCATTGGATTATATATCTCCTGCATAAGATTTTGTCAGGAGTCACTATTTTTGGTGAAATTAAAGTCCTCGACTGAGACGCTTAAAACCTGAATTTCTAGGTTAACTTTGATTGATTCTCGAGTTCCTGTGCCAAAGTGTGGGAGAGTCGGAAGTGCTAGGAGCTTTTTAGAAGAGAAACTCACAGTTCCATTTTTCCCCAGAGGCACCCCAATTCTCTCTAGTGCAGAGCTAGTCTAGGGACCCCAAGCAGAGCTTCTCATCACCTTCAGGAGTGAAATATTGTAGGCCAGACCTTCCAAATGTGTCGTGTCTGAGCCTGGCATTCCACCATGAAACGACAGGCATCCCTCCAGTCCTCCTGAGGTGTCACGGGGCTTACACGTAAAGCCTCGAGACTGCGGCTTTCATTTCCCCCACTGGACAGTGACTAGAGAGCGCGAGAACTGTTTCCTTGTCCTCAGATATCTAATCCCTGATTGGCACTTCGAACAGCCCGGATAAGACATGTCGCCAGAGCCTCAAACACTGTCACATCGCCTTCTGATAATGGGGAGAGCTAGAGGATCGCTGTGTTGTAGGTCCTTCTGTTGTGTTTCTCTTTTTCCTGCTCCGTAACTGCAAAGAGGCCCCATGTTCGTCTCATGGAGCGCCACCCCTCTCCCCCACCGAGCTTTATAAGTCAGCTCCTCTGTGGCCTCCTCCATGGCTTCTCCTGGAGTTCAGTTCTCCTGTTAACTGCCCCAAAGGTTTTTTTTTTCCTTAGCTGCAGGCACTGTTCAGTCAGGTTTCCAGAGACTTGGCAATTGTTCTCTAGTTTCTGTGCACATTCTTTATTTTCTCCCCACCCCAGAACACTTTGTTCTAGATGCACCGATCGACGCGCTGTTCTCTGAGTATGTTTAATGCTTCTCCGTCACTGTGAACTGGTTTTCTCTCTGCTGCGAATGACCTTTCCACCTTTGGAAGCCCTGCCCTTTCTCTAAGGCATAGCTCGGTCTTACTTGCCATTTGGTCTTTTCTATCCCCAAATAGTGAGTCGGTGACTCAGGCAGGAAGCACTTATGGCCACAAGCTAGGCATTGTGCCCAGAGTCAGAGACACAGAGATAAGGAAGGCTCAGTGCATGCCGTTGGGGAGCTCACAGTGTCTAGGGACACAGACGTGTCTGAACAAGTGACTAAAACATAGCAAGACAGGTGCTAGAGATAGAGCTTCGCGTACAGGATGGAGGTGGCACTAAGGGGAAAGTGGCCGACTGAGCAGGAGTGTCAGGAGAGCTTCGCCGCTGACATGCTGAGACCTAGGTTTCTGAAGATAAGTAGAACTTCACCAAGTGGATTTGGGGGCGATGTTTAGTCAAGGCAGAAGACACTGCAGAGTGAGGCCCAGCGGTGTACCCAGCACGCAGCTTTTCACAGAACTCGAAGCAGTTCGTGTCTAATCAAATATGGGGTGCGAGGGGGTGACTGGGGAGATGAGGCTAGGGACAGGCAGAACCAGCCCTGAGGCGGATGTTGGGTTGACACCACCAAGACCTCTGGAGTAGAGAGTTACATGATTAGGTTTGCATTTGGAATAATCGCTGTGGCCTTTGGAGGGAACGGGACTGGAAACCAGCTGGAAGCGGGCAGGTGGGGATGCCGGCTGAAGGCCCTTGCAGTGGTCCTAGAGAGTCGCAAGGAGAAAGGCCTGGACGGAAGCAGTGGTGTCCGGATGGAGGGGGTAGGAGTTAGGGAGCACCGGGCGGTGGGAAGAGCCAGGCGGTTGGGCGGGGTACCGATGTCGGGAACCGGAGTGGGGGTGCCGATGAGTTCCGTTTTGGAAATGTTGAGTTGGAGGCACCTGTGTATGTGCAGGTAGAAGGCACCAGTCGGCAGCATGGATCTGAAGGACGAGAGAAAGCGGTGAGCCACAGGTGCACATGTGGATGCTGCCAGGGCGAACGTGGCGCCGGGCCCTGGGGACCCCCAAGACTTCGTCCATCCAGCTGTGCCCGCAGCACCAGGAAGCGTGCCGTGCCCTGGAGTTGGTCATGCGTGTGCCTGTGTTCTCTCACAGGCTCAGGGCCCGGGGGTGGATACCGCCTCTTCCCATCCTTGCGTCGCCCCACAGTTCTTCACGAAAGTGGGCTCTCGGTCTCTGTTGACTTGACTCGCTCCACAAGCGGGTGTCTGAGAACTCTTGTGCAATTTGTCCCTACAGCAACCTAACATCAAGCAGAAGTTCGTGGCCCTCCTGAAGCGGTTCAAAGTTTCCGATGAGGTACGACCCCCTTATTCCCGAGGCCAATGGTGAGTGGATTTCCCTGAGATTCACCCTCATTCCTGAGGTGCACTCTGTTGTCACTGGGAGTCAAGATTCCAGGACCCCCCAAGTGAGAGGGCAGCTAAACAGAGGCTTTAAGTACTTGAAGCAAGAAAGGAAGGCTTCACACACAGACCCTAGGCTTCCTGAGGTTCAGAGACAAGGGCAGTGCAGGCACCCCAGCCCTCAGCCAGCGCCAGGCCCCTGCCGTGTGCTACCAGTGACAAATCCAGTCGTGGGTGTTGGTTAACTTTTCTCCCATCCCAAGGGGAACATTGTGAGCAACAGCCTGTGAAGTGGGAGTGTCCTCAGTGGTCAGCTTTGAAACCAAGAATTCACTGTTAATAGAGAAGCAGTTTCTTCCCTGGGCTCGGGCGGGCCCGTTGCCCGTTTTCATAGGCTTCTCTCTTCTCAGTGGACTGAAAAAAGGGTGGAGGTGAAAATAGCTGAGGGATTTCTTTGTCCTGCGGGCCGTAGAGGAAGGTGGAACTAGCATGCACAGGGTCACGGGTTTTCCCAGGCCTGTCCTCTGGCAGAGGCGCGTTGGTACTTCCGCTTCTCTTCTTGACGCCAGGCCCATAGTGTGGCGTGTTAGGGAGGCACTCAGGACTGTGTCACAGCAAGGACATCAGGACCACCTCGCTGAGTGCGAAGCTGTGGCATGTCCCTTAAGGGGCACTGGTTAGGGAGGCCAGTTGGTACCTGTCCGGGAGGAAGGGGCGTCAGGTGTAACGTAATTGTTAGTAGGCGTTACCCCAAACTCAAAGGTTTCTTTTCCCTGCAGGTGGGCTTCGGGCTGGAACATGTGTCCCGTGAGCAGATTCGAGAGGTGGAGGAGGACCTGGACGAACTGTATGATAGTCTGGAGATGTACAACCCCAGCGACAGTGGCCCTGAAATGGAGGAGACGGAGAGCATCCTTAGCACTCCAAAGCCCAAGCTCAAGTGAGCCCCAGCCTCCTCTAGCAAATCGTCTCCCCACACTTCTTCCCAGACCCCCTGCCTCACTTCCCCCATTACTCAGGAATCTTGGTTCTTCGTCCTCGCTGAGCCTCCAGCTATCGGGATGAAGATCGTTGTTTTAGCCTCTGACAAAAGTCCTGATAGGACTCCCCCTGAAGTCCTTTGGTCCGGGCCCCTACTTGTCGAGCCTCTGCTGTGACCTTCCTCACTAGTGTCCTTGAAGCCCAGGTCGTTGATCCTCCTTGAACACTAGCCCTGCCCAGCTCTCCAGGAGCAGCCCTGGCCGCACTGACCCTGGCTGTGCTTCTTCGCCACAGGCCCTTCTTTGAGGGGATGTCGCAGTCCAGCTCACAGACGGAGATTGGCAGCCTCAACAGCAAGGGCAGCCTCGGCAAAGACACCACCAACCCTGTGAGCATGACCGTGGCTATGGGGTAGAGGAGAGGGACCTGGGGAGTGTCGGGGCTTAGCACTCTGGGCCCTGTGCCCCGGGCTCGTTCTGTGACCTGGAAGAGCAAGCTCATCTTGTTCCAGCCTCGGAGGCCCTCCTCGGTCCTAGTTGGTAGCTTAGTTCTCTGAGGGCACCGCTGTGGCCAGGCAGGTGTTCTTTTTGGTCTCTTCCCACCGTGCTTGGAGCCTTCCCTCCCACGACTCACAGGGCCTCAAAACCTCTCCCTCAGCGTTCGTCGCAGGGGAGCTAGGAGCATGGTGTCCGGCCCACGGCAAGCGGCTCTGCCTTCCAGGCTGGAGAAAAAACAGCTGTAAAGGGGGCAGGAAGCCCGCAGGTCTGTTCGGGGACACCGAACATAACGTAGGTTTATTCACAGAGGGGGCAGGGCCCTCAATTTATAATTTAGTGGGCAGGTTTCCATTTTGCCTAGTGAGCAAGAGGAGAAAGCTCTCTGCTGTAGCACCCCAGGAGCCCCCCACCAAGGTTCTCCTGACAGGAGATCAGGGGCAGGAACCCAGGGAGATACTAGACCTACCTCAGGCCCTGGGAAGCTGTTCTTTTCTTCATTTATGACTAAAGGCAAGATGCTGTGCATGATTTTAGTGCAGCTTATAGTTGCTGTTGGAAGCTCACTATCTTGTTTTAGGTCAAAGAAACAATCCTTTAAGTCCTTCTATTCTTGCCTCTTTAACAGAGGGAACACAGAAGTCATTTTTCAAATAGGTAGTAATCATGGAGAAAGAGGTGAAGCATGTGAGGTGTTCCATCCCCTGAAAAGCACTGTCTGCAGAAGGGCTGCCACCTGTACCAAATGTCTACAAACTGTCAGGCAGCTTGTAGGCTGCCTTACTGCCTGCTGCCACCAGGTGGGGCTGTCTCCTACCTAATCCCTTTTCCTGGTGAAGGCGCAGCAGGCAGTCTGGCGCAAGGTGGCGTTAGTGAGGAAATGCGGGATGGAAAACTGCAGCCCACATGGGAGAATCCCACCAGAGAATTCTCAGGCCTGTCACTTGCAGACCCTGCACTCCCAGCAACTGCCCAGCCCAGGTCCCTGTGGTCCGGAGCTGAGCAAGCCTCACTTTCCTATGTTGGGACGTGGCTTGTAGCTGCTCTTTGTCCTGGGGCCGCTGAACGATCCTGCTG